TTTACTTCAGCCGTTCCTTCATGAGTTTGAACCAAGGTATCCCAAATTTCCTTTGTTGTTCTGCAGTTTGAGACACGGAAAAATTCGTCCATACTGAGTGCACCTTGAAGAAGGTTTATTGCCTTTTTGTCATAGAGAACTTTCTTTTTATCATCGTCGTCCCATGCAGTTTTGGGCTTTGCAGACCCAACGCCATTGATTACCGTTATCGGGATAAATGGACCATTTTCAACAGCATCCCATACTTCCTCTCCTTGTGCTTCTAAATGCGCCTTCATGTGTATTTTCCAAAAGTCAAAATATTCACCACAGAATAGAGGAGGCTTGTTGTTACTACCACCATCTTTGAAAACTGGTTGATGATTTGCGGAAGCCATTCTGGATCTCTAGGAGCAGGTTACCTATAACCTGCTCTGATACCAATTGTAAGATTAAGATTGCGCCTAAGAGGGGGGGTGAATTAGGTGGTGGTCGATTTTTGACTTATTTTATACTTTCTGGTTTTGATTTAGTGCTTTGAAAACTGTAAAGTGCAGAAAGTAAAGAGACACGGAGAATTATCCTGGTTCCTTCCACACCCCGGAAGTACGTCCAGTCCCCTTGCAAACACGCAAGAGATTTTACTATATTGTTAGAACTTTTACAAGACTCTTCCTAGTCTTATCCACTAAATAACCTAACAAATAACCAAGAACACCCTCTTGGATTTCCAATAAGTCTAATGAGAACAATCCTCTCAAAAGATACCTCTTGTTTCCAATAATGGACAACAAGGAACAAAAGTAATCTAATACTTAATTCCAACAATCCTGGAAATAAGTTACACTTTGTATGTTTTTATGAAGTATGATTTCTTGAAAGATGTTGATCACATAGAGTGACTTCTTTGAAGTTTCTTCTTTCTTCTCTTGTAAGCAATTCAAACTGTAACACAATGGTTAGATAATGCTCAAAGATTTATGTTCTTTATATGTGTGAAAGTGCAGAAAATCTTTGTTCTTAAAAGTTAAGAAATATGAAGTTTGAATATTTTACAAAGTTCAGATTTTATTGCATAAGAGAAGAGTTGTTTTTGATTTGAAAGATTTTGTAATATATAGTAATCAAGATACCTTTCCAAAAGGACACTTTTCTGTTTGAAAAAACTTGACAAGATGCAATGTTTGATCATGCAACTATTGGAGAAAAGGTGTGAAGGATATCTTGAAACCAGTTCAGATTTTTCAAAATTTTCAATGTGCAAATCGATTAACATAAGATGCAAATCGATTGCACGTGTTTGTAACGTTCAGAATTTCAAAAAATTTGAAGTGTAAATCGATTAGCATGTTGTGTCAATCGATTTACAAGAGTTAAAAAGTCAGTTTGTTCTGTGATCAATCGATTTACACAACCTGTAAATCGATTGCTGGCAGGAGCAAACAGTTTTTTGAAAAAGCATGTGTAAATCGATTTACACAAGATGTTAATCGATTTACAGCAGAGAAAAACTTAAAAATTGTTTTGAAATATAATTGAAGTGATGTGGCAAGTGTGTATATCATTTTTGAGCATTTCTAATCAATGTAGTTTAATTGAGAATTGATATACTTGATTGCTTGCCAAGATCCTTGAAGCTTTGAGTGAATGATGCTTTAAGTTAATTTCCACTTCTTTTCCTTCTTTCCATAATGCTTGTTTGTCTTTCATCAAACTAGCTTGTTTGTCTTTCATCAAAACTAAAGTTGAGTTCAGGCTTGAGATTACAGCTATGAGTGTTTTAACAGATTTGGCAGAAGCAAAATTTTTGAGCCCGCTTAGCACGATTTTAGGCGGTTTTATGTGTAAAATATGGAAGTCGCGCTTAGCGCGTTAGGCCCTCTTAGCGCGTTCTGCTGAATTTTATTTTATAACTTTCATTTCATTCATTGTTAGATTATGTTTTTGGGGATAACTTTAGCTCCTAAATTCATCAACCTCATTTTTTTGGTAGATTAGCTTAGAAAACAACTATGGAGCTTGCATACGGATGATCCGGGGTGAATTTCTCTTTGATTGATACTGACAAATCGGGAGATTTGTGGTCTATTTATCTTCTTCTTTGTGTTTTCTCTATTAGTTTGGTTTTGTATATGTATTTACTTTGAACTCATGTATATTTGTCGCCTATGGCGTTGTATAAAGCTTGCTTTACAAAATTTTATCGATTATTGTCCTGGATTATTGCTATGTGCTTGGGGTTTGGGTTGTTATAGACATATACTGCTCGAATTCTTATCTAGGATGATTATCTAATAGTGTGTAGATTGTAGAAATAGATTTATAACTATTATTCACTTGGGTATTTGTGATTAATGTCTGTGTTGGTTGTGTCATGTCGAGAGATCGTCGATGCGAGTAGCACGGTTGACTTATGTGTTGTTGAGGTTGATTGAGAGATCACCGCCGAGACGATACAGTGGGTGTTATGTTTGGTACGTGATGACATCGATGAGTCTTGTAGGTTGAGTATGACTAGTCGATAAGTTTAAGTTTGTGAGGAGTTGATTATATGTATGCCTGATATGTTTTTTCTCCAAAGAATGAATTTATTTTCTGTTAATAACTTTAATTCCCACATTTACTTCAAACCCATTTAAAACCAAACTCATAAACGCGAGAAGTTTTCGAACGAAAATTCAGTAGCACTAATCTCCGTGGAGACGATATGATAAAACTAAAAATAATTACTTTTGCTTGCCACTTTAGCGCTTCAGTAGTAATTTCTAAGATAATAAGGCAACTCACACATACACCTAAAATACTTTTAGGTCTCTCTTTACTTAACAAAATCACGTAAAAATATTTCAAAGTCTATCTAGTTGATTAGCGGAATGTCTACTTGATTATGACAATTTTTTCAACTATCTAATCGATTAGATCATTAACCTAATTGATTAGATGATGCCTAACTAATCTATAATCAATTTTGACAATATCTTAATGATTAGTTAAAAATCTATATCAAAACCTTCTATTTTGGACCATAATAATTAATTATTTAAGGTACCTAACCGATTAGACTTAGGACATAATCGATTAGGTGACTTAATTGGTCCATAGTTCGTTTCTTTTTTAAGTAAATTCTTCCCCTATATAAAGGAGCCGCCTTCTTTCTTCATTTCACACCAAAATTCATAATTTCTCTAATTCGTTACCCCTCTCTGACACACACAAAATATTATCTTTATACCAAAATTTCCTTAGTGTCTTGTGAGAGAAAACCACTTGTGTGAAAATAGTTATACTAGTATGGTGCCATTGTTGATACTTTCAAAAGTGTGATACTCTTGTAATATAGTTTGATTTTTGAGATTAATTAATCTTAAAAACATTTTTGAGTTCTAGAACTTAGTCTATAAAAGTTCTATTTTATTATCAAGATCAACCTTTAAACTCTCTAATCATTTTGTTAGCTCATCCCATGAAAAATCTTTCTTTTGGTTAAAGATAAACAAGTGTAAAATTTCTAGATTTGCTCATATAAAATATTTGTGGGTATAACATGTGTTCATTATCCTGACCTCTCCCAATCTTTACATACGCTCACAACATTCTTTCATTTTCTCTCAGAACAGCGATGAAAGAGCAGAAAAATGACTAACTTTTCAAAGTTTCCATGTTTGTCCATTCCATTCTTCATCCTAATATTTCAAAACTTAAAAACATCTTATACCTTCATTGCATTTATGAGTTTTTGGGTTGTTAAGAATATTGTAGAAACATAAATTTTACTGTTAATTGTTGAAATTTTTTTTCTTTCATCCAATTTAGTTTTACATCTTTGCATATAAACAAAAATTGAGTGTGTAAAGAATAATGCAGCTTAAAAATAATATTTTTTATTAGTTTTAAAAACATTTTTTATTTATTCTCATGATGGTTGCATGAGCTTTTTTATATTAATCTTTAAAATAAATAAAAAATTCTTATATTTTATATTTTGATGAGAAAAATATTATTGTATTGGTTAATGGTTAGCCCTTTATTATAGTAAAATATTAAAATTTAACTTAAAAGATATTTTTGTCTTTTTAAAAACTAAACATATTTTTTTCTTTTCTATTTCTCTTCTATTTTTGTTATATCAATAGATACCTTAAATCTACAATATTTCTCATTTATTTCTCTCTTCTTATATCCTTTCTCACCTCTTTCTCTCTTCTCAATTTGTTCTCTCAATCAATTACACTCTTAGGTTATGTTTAGGAGTTTGGAGGAGAGGGAAAGAGAAGGGAGGACTTTCAAAAATAATTTTTTTTAAAAATATAAAGAAACTTTTAACATTTAAAAAAAAAATTGTTTAGAATGATAAAATAATATTATCATTAATGTATTTTTATTTTTTGAAATATTATAACAACAAAAATTATATTTAAACAAATTGATTAAGCCTTCAAAATCCTCTAAAACCTTCCTCCAATATAAATTTTGAGTTCTCCAAATTAAGAGGTTTTTGGTGTTACGAATAAAAAAGTCTCAAAAACTATCGTAAGGAAAATCTTTCTACTCATTTCATTCCATCCTTTCTATTTTTCAAAGCCCTCCCTTCCCTTCCAAACTCCCTAACATAGCCTTAATGAATTTGAAGCAATTGGTAGCCAAATCTATTTCTGAGTTAACACAGGGTCTCAACTTTGTTCAAAGTGTGTTCTCTTTTGTTTTCCCATTAAAAATAAATAACAACAATCAATACTCTGAAATTATTGAAAAAGACATTTAGAAGTTACTATTCTGGTGGATTGAATGTGATATGATTACATTTCTCAGACCAGAAGATGCAAGAGGAAGGTATGCAATTTATGACCTTCAGACATTGTTTTAGGTAATGATGGCATTGCATCTTTAGAAACAAAACATGCCAACAAGGTTGGAAAACAAAAAAAAGAAGAAGCATAAAGTAACCTTAATTCAGTACTAGTAATGATCAAATGGTAGGTTAGACGAGTGTATCAACCATCCATATTAGTAATCCATTAGGATCAATAATTTGTCTTGGACCTTTGTTCACCATTGCCAACCACAACCTGCGACAGGTCCACCTCTGTTTTGTTGGCTTTTCTTTCAGCAATCTGCATCTTTGTCGATTTGTAATAGGTTGCATATAGAATCAGCTGAACCACAGAAAACACTGTCCCAATCCCATTTGGCACCTGATAATCAATAACAATCGTAACTGGTCATTTGATTGATTCTTGTTGATTTTGGTATCTAGTAAAAACAAGGATTTAAATTTGTTTTACAGTGATGAATGCGTCAAATTGGATAAGAGCATAAGTGGTCCAAGCGACGCCGTTTCCAAAAGAAGCAAGCGAAATGGAAAGTGGCATGTATTCGACGCTTTTAGTCACGATCACCAATTTCTGCAGCGCAATTTCATCAAATACTTCAAATCCAAATCCAAAACCAAATATTCGAATTGAGTTTCTTTACTCTGATGATTACTTACCATGACAGCTAAAGGTGCAGCATACATCATAATGTTGAAAACAATGCAGGTGGTACCAACGATGGCCGATCGTTTCTTTGCAGAGTGAACAAGATTCAATACGACGAACGCAAGAACTGCGATGAAAAGGAGTTCAACAACTAACCACATAACAACCTTGAGCCTTTTGTTGCGGTTAGAGTAAATTATGAAGAGCGTGACATATACAATCTCGACCACAGAACCCGAGCCATTGATGGTCAGCACTAGCACGTTGTCCGGGTTCACCATGGGTAGACCATATAGTGTCCACACCATGCAGTTCACAAGTGTTGCTAAGTATGGTGCTGCTGAAAATTGCTCAACTGATCCTTTCTTCCATATCCCATAAAAAGTTGGCCTGATTATATACATTTCAATTCAATTAAAATTACCAAATTCCAATTAGGCGGGTCATAAGATTCTATCAACTTGCACACACTAAAAAAAAAGAAGAAACAAACAAATTGTTACTAAAAATATCAAACACAATGTCAAGTACTTTACCATTCCTAGCTATATTACTTTTTAGCCAATTTCATTTTTTTTTGATAAACTTGATTGAGTTTAATTCAAATAGATGTATGGTCAATAAAATTTATGGAAAATAATAATAATGCAATGTAGAATATTATAAAGTTAATGAAATAGGTAGTACTCCAATTTTAATGGTATTCATTCATTCCAACTATTTTTAGAGAGACACAATATGAATAGTACTATAAGTACCTCCCATTTTAGAATTCCAACCCCCTTTCTATCACATGGCCAAATTAATACTGTTTGGGTTTTGTAGAAAAATTACATTTATCATAAAAAAACTCATGTTTTATTTACATTTTTACTACATTTCTGAAATAAATAAATTTCCTCTTTAGATTAAATAAAGCAAATAAAAAAGAGAGAGATGAATTATTTAAACTTGTCTTAAAAAAGAAAGAAAAGAACAGAACGATTTCTACTGCACCAGCACCGCTCCATATTAATTTTGCGTCATAATAATCTTGTTGAATTATTGCAAAGAATATTATAAGGTGCAAGCTAATCACATTTTAGCCATTAAAATGATACCTCACCATTTAACTATATTACTCCACCTCTAATTATAATTATAAGATAAAGTAGAATTATTAATAAAGAATATCTTTGAAAATAAATAAATATTTATATGTAATAAATTATATACTCCCTTCAGTATTATTTATAAATAATTTTTTTTAAGATATATTAAATAATAAATGTATTTAGTCTACATAAAAAATCAAATATATTTATATTCAATAAATCTAAAAAAAAAATATTTATATAATAATAGTCCGAGGAAATATGAAATTATATTCATAGACTTAATTTTCTAAAGGGGTATAGAATTATGGATGTTCATATTGTCTTTTATAAATTTAAAACAAAGTATCTTAAGAGATAATTAGTTTTTTATTTTAATTAAAGTGAGATATAACCTTCCTTTAAAAAATTGCGGGTCAATTAAACCATACATAATACCTAATCATATGTACTAAATTAATCATGTCAAATTTCATTTAATAAAACTAATTATGGCAAATATAAAGTTATAAATTTTTAAACCTTTCACTTAAAAAGCATATGTTAAAATCAAAATATATGAAGTGAATAAATATATATATTTTTAATTTTAATTCAGAAAAAATAAATGCGCATTATAGAAAAAAATATTCATATAAAAAAATAATTTTGAAACCGTTCTTCTCTTAAAAAGACAAGAAAAATTAAAATTTATGCATTTTGTAAGGAATTTTAAAATTTTAAAAAAACAAGAAGAGAGAAAGATGAAGCTTACACTGGTGACAAGAACAAGAAGCCTGAGATGATATTTCCTGAAGTTATGGAAATTGAAGAGACAAAGATTTATAAGAATTAAGAATAATATATTTATTCATATTACACATAAATTCTATTGATATAGAAATTAACCAACCTATAATACCAACAACTGTTCGAGCAATATGTGCTGCTGCTGCAGTCATGATTCAAAACTGATTATAAGTGATGATGAATGAAGTATGAAATGTGAGAAAGAAGAATGGTGATGAAGATATATAGTAGCTAGGGGATGAAGGTAAATGAAAATTGTGTTATGTGATGATGATGATGATGATGAGGAGGAATCAGGTTGATCATATGCATGACATGTATTTTTGGGTTGTGTGAGTGAGTGAATATTAGTGCTTCTTAAATAGTGCAAACATAACACACTCTTTGGCATGAGTCACTCTCTTACTCAGATATTCTTAGACCCTACTTCACCAAGATTAGAAAGCGACTCAATTTGATTAAACATGGAATTGTATTAATTTTTATGTTGAGAAATCTATTTCCCATATTATATGTATTGTCCAAATTCATCCTAAACTGCTTTAAGTTGTTTATTTTGAATTAATTAATTCCTTGTGTTTTTTAAACAAATTATTTTAGTCTAAAAATGTACATAGTTCATCTTTTTGACTTATTTATCAATTTTATATGTTTATTCATCCAATTCTAAGATTAGCCAATAAAAACGTGAATTATAAAAACATGTATTAAGAACTTAATTTTGTTGAAAATATCCACTAAAATTTATGATAAATTTATATCAATATTAATGAATAAGATTGTTATCATTATACAATGATAATAAAAAACATGAAAGAAAGAAAAGACAATAATTTTCTGTAGAGTTTGTCTATGTCCACAAATTGTGGAAAACTTCTTATTCACTTGCAACCGTAAATTATGTGAATAAAACTTGATTGTAAAAATAGGAGTTACTCTCTCTATTTATAGATTTAGGTTAGTTTGCTCTCTAAGCCAAAATCCAAAACTATAAAAGCTCAAAATACCTATTTTAGAACTAAATCAAATCTATATATTTTAGACATAAACCAAATCTATCTATTTTAGATCTAAATCAAATATGTGTGTAACAATCTGCTTCCACACTTTGATAGACTAATTCCATACACCTTGTGTCGAGCAACATCCTGCTTCGACACAAGGAATTATACTTTCAACATACCACCTAATTCATTGTGTCTAAGCTATCTACATTCATCATAGCTCTTAGTCTTCTGAATACTTCGACCTGCACACCCTTTGCCATGATGTCTGCAATTTGATTCTCAGTTCTGCATTATTTCAATTTCATCTTCTCATCGGCTACCTGCTCTCGAAGATAGTGGAACCTCATTTCGATGTGCTTGCTTTGACCATGTGCTATCGGGTTCTTCTCTAGGTTTATAGCTGACATGATGTCGATCTTCATGGTAATTGCTCCATGATCTTTCCCCGTGATTTCTTCGACCAAGTTCACCATCCATGTTTCTTGACATGCACAAAGAGAAGCAGTTATGTACTCTGCTTTACACGATGATAATGCTACTACTGGTTCCTTTCTCGAACTCCAAGCAACTAGTGCACCACCTAGCATAAACACATATCCTGCTATGGATTTTTGATCCTCAACATCACTACACCAACTTGAATCAGTGTACCCAACTAAGTTGCATTCTTTTCCTTTATCAGCTGCAGAAAATCAAATGTCATAATAAAGAGTTCATTTCAAATACCTCGATATCCTCTTTGTCGCTGCTAGGCCTTGTGTGACAAAGGTATCTCAATGACCCAATAAGTCTTCTGTATTGGGTTGGGTCTGGAGGTGTGAAAAACACAAGAAAATGGGGGATTTGAATTGGGTTTTAAATAAAAAACGTTTCTTTTTAAAATCCCCTTTAAACCGTAACAAGTTACTTCACTTAGTGATAATAATGATAAGATGCAAGAAGGAAAAAACAAGTTATGTTTATACTAGTTCACTTGAAAACTATCAAACTAGTCTAGTCCACCCGCCAAGGTGATTTCGCCGTTCTCAACAAGGACTTAATCCAATAATCAAACAGAATATTACAATGTACAGACTAACTGCAAGTGACTAACGTTACAAACTCTAAGACACACTAATCTTAGACTTCTCAAAGATTCTTACCAACGGGTCCCTTAAGGAAAAATCAAACAACTGTTTGAACAAAGTTTATTTACAAGAAATTGTGCTTCTACAAAAGTGAAATGTAAACAAATTTTCAATAATATAGACTAGAGAAATATGAAAGCATATGAATAGTCTTATTAGAAAGTGTATCAACGTGAATTAGCAGCCCTCTCTCATAGTCTTCAAGCCTTTACATAACCAATAAAATATTATAACCGTTGAAGGATATTTCTGGAATTTCTTGAAAGCTGGCAGCTTGATCAATAACGTGGGAGACAAGATCGTACGCAACGTCCATCCTTCATGGTAGTGGAATGAAATATTTTGTTTGTACCATGTACTTTTTATACCACACAATCTTATCCTTTTTCTCTTCTAACGTCAGAGGCTTCTAATCAAGCATGTGTTGGAAGAATGAGAATAATACTTGGGTCTTCAGAACTTCAAGTCTTCAAAGTCTTCAGAACTACGTCTTCAGAATCTTTAGCACCTGGTCTTTAGAACCCCTTGTAGAACCTTGGGTTATCAGAAATTCAAGTCTTTAGAATCTTCAGAACTTCGTCTATCAGAATCTTCAGCACTTGGCCTTGAGAACCCTATGTCTTCAAAAACATAAGTCTTTAACATCTGGACTTCAGTTAGAACTTCTGTCTTCAGATATTCAGAACTTGGTTTCTTGAACATGTATCAGAGTTACAACTTTAAAGTCTTCTGAAGCTTTTGCTACTGTTCATCAGAACTTGTGTAGCTAGAAGTGGAACTTATTCTCTTCTAATTTCTTGGAAACACCTTTCATCAGAAGCAAAACCTGTTTGTTAAATACTCAAAATAATAAACATTAGAGTACCAAAATTGTTCATACAAACATACTCATTTATTATCATCAAAACTCAGAGATAAAGTTGCAGAACCAAATCTTATTCTAACAATCTCCCCCTTTTTGATGATGACAAAACTATGTATTTTGATGATACAATTTTGTACATGATCAAAAGAAGTAAAAAATAAGAAGATTAAGAAACACTTATCCTTGTTATGAAAACTCCCCCTGAGTCAAAGACTTGATGAAGATCAAATATCCCGATTCTAAACCATTTGAGTAGAATTCCCCTGGTTCCAATAGATCAAATATTGAGATCTTGAGAGTCTTGATACCAATCATGCCAATTGAGATCTTGAACCTCTAGCGTCACAAAGACAAATTCCAGATTCTCAATTCAGAGCCTGGTTATGAATAGTCTGATTATGAACTTAAGAACTTCTCAGAGTCTGAATCCAAAAGTTAGACAAAAGCCTTGTTTAACACTTTCAGATCTTGACTTTAATTAAAGTTCATAATTCCTGAAAAAGAAAACAATTCTAACAGAAAAAAAGTTTAATTGGGTTAGAATGTAAGCAGCTATTTTTAGAGACCTTTTCCATAATTTGATTATCATAATCAAAATATTAATTTCAGTTATTTATTCCCCCTTTTTGTCACAATCAAAAAGGTAAAATAACAAGTGAACTAAGAAGTGATAAACCAAAATAAACTTCATTAAGAATTATAAGATCATAAGTCATAAAAGAAATCATAAGAAGCAAAACATAAGAAGCAAGAGTTCTATGTTTCAGAAGAAAAAGGTGAAATAAAAGCCTAAGAGCCTAGGGTCCAGATGCAGGAGGTGTTGGAGTAGATATCTTATCAAGAATTAGCTGTAACACGTTCTGAACATTCTCATTGACAACCTTCTGTTCGATGATGCTTTCTCTGAAAACCTGTTATTCTCCTATAATCTCACCTATTGAATTTTCCAGACGCGCGATGACAGGATAAGAAGAAGACACAACCAATGCATCTTGTCTTGCCTTTTCTGCCTCTTCAGCTTCCAGATCCAACCTGGCTTCCTCAACAACTTTGGCATCTTCCTCAGACTTAAGCCTAGCTTTTTCTGCCTATTGGAGTGATCTAGCTTCAACTTATCTTTTCTTATTAGCAATGAGTATGAAGACTCTGATTCTTTCCTCTCTTTCTGTCATCGTCTGAACAACAACAATTCTAGATGCTTAAGAGAAGGTCTTCAACCTTTCAAACTCAGAAGACATCCATTTTTGAAACAAATTCCAGGAATCATCCAGATTCTGGGGCTTAGGGCTTGAGCTTGCTTCTTGTCTTAGCTTTGAAATCTTCTTTCTAGCCTCATTTCTAAACAAACTAATGCATTCATCTAAGGTTTTTGTAATAGGATTTTCATAAACAATTAAAGGTTATTTGTTGAAGATGATGAAGGTTGTTGACGAAGGTGATGATCTTGATGAAGAGCGTTGGTGAATATTATGAACACAGAGAACTTGTTGAACGGTTTAATAGAAAAAGAGGGTTTAGGGTTTCTAAAGTGTGGAAGTGAAGTGAAGTGAAGTGAAGTGTGTGTTTTATAAGCGAGAGAAAAATATAAAAAATAAACACATATAGAGATGCTTATTAGGATCATTAAATGAAAGTAATAATTATGATTTTAATCAGTTCCAAGAAAAACGCACACTATTTATTGCATAGCCTAGGTAGAGTGTGATGATTAAGCATAACCAAGGGTTACACACGTTAATCACTACATCTAATTAGGTGACACATTTTGATATCCTTAAAATCTTGAGAACCAAAATGTTGCCATCTAATCAAAGACATTTCTGACCGAAACATCTTTTGATTATTGAGGTTCTGAAAAATGAAAATAATTTTTGATCAAGTCAGAATCTTATTTCTTCAGACTAAGAGTAAAACACATCGATTCTGATAAAATCTTACTCTGGACAAAAGTCCATTTTCAGATGCTTCAGAATATATAGAAATCTATCTTCAGCTAAGGGTTTTGTAAAAATATCAACCCATTGATGGTATGTATATATGAATTTTAAAGATAATATCCCTTTCAGGACATAATATCTAATAAAATGATGTTTTATTTCTATGTGTTTAGCCCTAGAGTGTAAAATAGGATTTTTACTGAAACAAATAGCATC